GGAGGTGTTGATCTTTGGGGTATTTAAATACTCCGAAATTACCATCTCTTTTAAGGGTCTGAGCGGGTGGTGGAGCAGGTTAAGGCGTACCTGTTATGCCAGTTGCTGGAAGGCTTCTGTGCTGGCTAGGGTTCGAGTCTCCTGGTGGGAAAGTGTTTTAAAGTTGTATACTTAACTCTCGTGTTTAGGAGAGTTGTGCCTTAAGCAGAGACACTGTGTCTTCCCATATTAACAGGGACTTGATGAAATTAACGTATAAATGACCCCTCACTTGCTCTGGTGCTCTTGGGAGGTGTTGATCTTTGGGGTATTTAAATACTCCGAAATTACCATCTCTTTTAAGGGTCTGAGCGTGTGGTGGAGCAGGTTAAGGCGTACCTGTTATGCCAGTTGCTGGAAGGCTTCTGTGCTGGCTAGGGTTCGAGTCTCCTGGTGGGAAAGTGTTCTAAAGTTGTATACTTAACTCTCGTGTTTAGGAGAGTTGTGCCTTAAGCAGAGACACTGTGTCTTCCCATATTAACAGGGACTTGATGAAATTAAAGTATAAATGACCCCTCACTTGCTCTGGTGCTCTTGGGAGGTGTTGATCTTTGGGGTATTTAAATACTCCGAAATTACCATCTCTTTTAAGGGTCTGAGCGGGTGGTGGAGCGGGTTAAGGCGTACCTGTTATGCCAGTTGCTGGAAGGCTTCTGTGCTGGCTAGGGTTCGAGTCTCCTGGTGGGAAAGTGTTCTAAAGTTGTATACTTAACTCTCGTGTTTAGGAGAGTTGTGCCTTAAGCAGAGACACTGTGTCTTCCCATATTAACAGGGACTTGATGAAATTAACGTATAAATGACCCCTCACTTGCTCTGGTGCTCTTGGGAGGTGTTGATCTTTGGGGTATTTAAATACTCCGAAATTACCATCTCTTTTAAGGGTCTGAGCGGGTGGTGGAGCAGGTTAAGGCGTACCTGTTATGCCAGTTGCTGGAAGGCTTCTGTGCTGGCTAGGGTTCGAGTCTCCTGGTGGGAAAGTGTTTTAAAGTTGTATACTTAACTCTCGTGTTTAGGAGAGTTGTGCCTTAAGCAGAGACACTGTGTCTTCCCATATTAACAGGGACTTGATGAAATTAACGTATAAATGACCCCTCACTTGCTCTGGTGCTCTTGGGAGGTGTTGATCTTTGGGGTATTTAAATACTCCGAAATTACCATCTCTTTTAAGGGTCTGAGCGGGTGGTGGAGCGGGTTAAGGCGTACCTGTTATGCCAGTTGCTGGAAGGCTTCTGTGCTGGCTAGGGTTCGAGTCTCCTGGTGGGAAAGTGTTCTAAAGTTGTATACTTAACTCTCGTGTTTAGGAGAGTTGTGCCTTAAGCAGAGACACTGTGTCTTCCCATATTAACAGGGACTTGATGAAATTAACGTATAAATGACCCCTCACTTGCTCTGGTGCTCTTGGGAGGTGCTGATCTTTGGGGTATTTAAATACTCCGAAATTACCATCTCTTTTAAGGGTCTGAGCGGGTGGTGGAGCGGGTTAAGGCGTACCTGTTATGCCAGTTGCTGGAAGGCTTCTGTGCTGGCTAGGGTTCGAGTCTCCTGGTGGGAAAGTGTTCTAAAGTTGTATACTTAACTCTGGTGTTTAGGAGAGTTGTGCCTTAAGCAGACACTGTGTCTTCCCATATTAACAGGGACTTGATGAAATTAACGTATAAATCACCCCTCACTTGCTCTGGTGCTCTTGGGAGGTGTTGATCTTTGGGGTATTTAAATACTCCGAAATTACCATCTCTTTTAAGGGTCTGAGCGGGTGGTGGAGCAGGTTAAGGCGTACCTGTTATGCCAGTTGCTGGAAGGCTTCTGTGCTGGCTAGGGTTCGAGTCTCCTGGTGGGAAAGTGTTCTAAAGTTGTAAACTTAACTCTCGTGTTTAGGAGAGTTGTGCCTTAAGCAGAGACACTGTGTCTTCCCATATTAACAGGGACTTGATGAAATTAACGTATAAATGACCCCTCACTTGCTCTGGTGCTCTTGGGAGGTGTTGATCTTTGGGGTATTTAAATACTCCGAAATTACCATCTCTTTTAAGGGTCTGAGCGGGTGGTGGAGCGGGTTAAGGCGTACCTGTTATGCCAGTTGCTGGAAGGCTTCTGTGCTGGCTAGGGTTCGAGTCTCCTGGTGGGAAAGTGTTCTAAAGTTGTATACTTAACTCTCGTGTTTAGGAGAGTTGTGCCTTAAGCAGAGACACTGTGTCTTCCCATATTAACAGGGACTTGATGAAATTAACGTATAAATGACCCCTCACTTGCTCTGGTGCTCTTGGGAGGTGTTGATCTTTGGGGTATTTAAATACTCCGAAATTACCATCTCTTTTAAGGGTCTGAGCGGGTGGTGGAGCGGGTTAAGGCGTACCTGTTATGCCAGTTGCTGGAAGGCTTCTGTGCTGGCTAGGGTTCGAGTCTCCTGGTGGGAAAGTGTTCTAAAGTTGTATACTTAACTCTCGTGTTTAGGAGAGTTGTGCCTTAAGCAGAGACACTGTGTCTTCCCATATTAACAGGGACTTGATGAAATTAACGTATAAATGACCCCTCACTTGCTCTGGTGCTCTTGGGAGGTGTTGATCTTTGGGGTATTTAAATACTCCGAAATTACCATCTCTTTTAAGGGTCTGAGTGGGTGGTGGAGCGGGTTAAGGCGTACCTGTTATGCCAGTTGCTGGAAGGCTTCTGTGCTGGCTAGGGTTCGAGTCTCCTGGTGGGAAAGTGTTCTAAAGTTATATATATATATATATATATATATATATATATATATATATATATATATATATATATATATATATATATATGTCGTACCTAGTAGCCAGAACGCACTTCTCAGCCTACTATGCAAGGCCCGATTTGCCTAATAAGCCAAGTTTTCATGAATTAATGTTTTTTCGACAACCTAACCTACCTAACCTAACCTAACCTAACTTTCTCGGCTACCTAACATAACCTAACCTACAAAGATAGGTTAGGTTAGGTTAGGTAGGGTTGGTTAGGTTCGGTCATATATCTACGTTAGTTTTAACTCCAATAAAAAAAAATTGACCTCATACATAATGAAATGGGTAGCTTTATCATTTCATAAGAAAAAAAATTGAGAAAATATATTAATTCAAGAAAACTTGGCTTATTAGGCAAATCGGGCCTTGCATAGTACGCTGAGAAGTGCGTTCTGGCTACTAGGTACGACATATATATATATATATATATATATATATATATATATATATATATATATATATATATATATATATATATATATATATATATATATATATATATATATATATATATATATATATATATATACAATCATTAATAATTACTGATTGATTTGTTAGTCTGTGTGACAGATTGTTAACTTAATTACTCATTGTTTGGTACTGTCGGTGTGACAGAAGAATTAACGTAATTAATTGTATATTTGATTTGATTGCAGTCCAAGGGACAGTGCTAACATAATTAATTAATTGAGTAAAGATTGTCTTAGTGACAAGTATTGCATTGTTTTGTTGTTGTTGTAATTGTTTTGTATTACATCATTGTTCATTGCCACTGCAGGAGTTGAGTACAGTGTTGTCCGAGTGTGCACTAGTGTTCAGATAATTCACTTTGTTCCATCTTGCCCATGCAAGAGGGTTCGAGACCAGGTGCCGTGATATCCAGAGTGGTGGGACTGAGTCCTGCTGCCAGTGGCCTTGTTTAGCGGTGGAGTGACACTCGGAAATTAACGTAACGTAAAGCTGTTATTGTCGGGTATTAGTAAGTAAGTTTGTTGAATAAACTGTTATTGTTGCGAAAGTGACTTTACGTCAATAACCTTTGAGAGTATTGCCCCATTACATTGTCCTGCTGCAGCTACTTTTGAAATCTTGAACTTAACAGGTTTAAACTCTGGGATCAAGCCCACAGTTTCAAACACTAAATACTAAAATTTGGTGTTGGAACCCATTTGTTGCCTTCAAGATTGTTCATGCAACTGAGGCGCTAACGACTTAGTGAGTTGAGGACCAAGTGAATGAGCCTCGTCGTTTGCATTCACCTTTTCCTTGTTGAGTAACTTTCACATGTGGCACCCACTCTGTGGCTAGTTAGTATTGCTTCTATTTAGGAAGACTACCTCACATCTGGCGCCCAACATGGGGCCTTGTGAAAGTGGTAAGTCAAACTTGGAATACTATCTCACAGTAAGGCTCAGCGCTAATTGAGAATAACGTTGAACATCCATTGGTTCAACTTTTGGCCAATAATAGCAGACAATTTGATGCCTCCTCGAGTTAGATTTTGAAGAAAAGACCTAGTGACAGCCTGGCGGTATAAAGTATTGTGCCTGTTGTAAAATACTCTTTGGGTATTTTTGTTCTCACTAAGGGTGAGAACTGTTTTGTTCTCACTAATCTTTGTTCTCACTGAGGGGTCGGTCAGTTAAGGGGCATAACTGGCCGACCCCTCACAGTGTTCAAGAGAGAACTGGATAAGCACCTCCAAAGGATACCTGATCAACCAGGCTGTGACTCATACTTCAGGCTGCGAGCAGCCGCGTCCAGCAGCCTGATTGATCAGTCCGGCAACCAGGAGGCCTGGTCGACGACCGGGCCGCGGGGACGCTAAGCCCCGGAAGTACCTCAAGGTAACCTCAAGGTTGGGTTGAGTCTCCCATAAATAATACAATGCTTCTTGATTTCAGGTTGGTCAATGTCTCTGAACCTTGTTGGTCTTGATGCCATCTGGTAGATAATTTCAAGATGAACGTGACGTGGGGAAGGATGTTTACTATCCAATACAATTACTGAAGACTTGGTTATTCTCCAAGACAAAGTGGAGAGCAAGGAACCAGAGTAAAGGCCGCCCTGAAGGAAGCAAGAGGCGGCCCTCGCCACCAGACTTGAAGTAGTTATCACCAAAAATCCGAAACCCGTTTAAGACAATAGTAATAAATAGTGAGAGGAAGATAAACTGTGCCTAAGAGGACTCACCATCACACCGGTGAGGATCTTCAAGACACGGAGACAGTCCTGGTCGTCGTCCAACTCCCTGGGAGAGACCTCCGTCACTTCTCTCCGACGATCCTGTAGTGAGGTAGAATTTCTAAAATTAGATTGCATTTATTGTTTCATTTTATTCATCTGCAACAAACTGACATACAATGAAACATGTGGGATGAAGAATGTTACACTTTATTATATTCCTTGTTCTCACCTTGTTACACTTTATTATATTATAGCAAGTACTGTAGCGTCAACTACAGTACTGTAGCGTCAACTGCAGTACTGTAGCGTCAACTACAGTACTGTAACGTCAACTACAGTACTGTAGCGTCAACTACAGTACTGTAACGTCAACTACAGTACTGTAGCGTCAACTACAGTACTGTAGCGTCAACTACAGTACTGTAACGTCAACTACAGTACTGTAGCGTCAACTACAGTACTGTAACGTCAACTACAGTACTGTAGCGTCAACTACAGTACTGTAGCGTCAACTACAGTACTGTAGCGTCAACTACAGTACTGTAGCGTCAACTACAGTACTGTAGCGTCAACTACAGTACTGTAGCGTCAACTACAGTACTGTAACGTCAACTACAGTACTGTAGCGTCAACTACAGTACTGTAGCGTCAACTACAGTACTGTAACGTCAACTACAGTACTGTAACGTCAACTACAGTACTGTAGCGTCAACTACAGTACTGTAGCGTCAACTACAGTACTGTAACGTCAACTACAGTACTGTAACGTCAACTACAGTACTGTAACGTCAACTACAGTACTGTAACGTCAACTACAGTACTGTAACGTCAACTACAGTACTGTAGCGTCAACTACAGTACTGTAACGTCAACTACAGTACTGTAACGTCAACTACAGTACTGTAGCGTCAACTACAGTACTGTAGCGTCAACTACAGTACTGTAGCGTCCACTACAGTACTGTAGCGTCCACTACAGTACTGTAGCGTCAACTACAGTACTGTAACGTCAACTACAGTACTGTAGCGTCAACTACAGTACTGTAGCGTCAACTACAGTACTGTAGCGTAAACTACAGTACTGTACCGTCAACTACAGTACTGTAGCGTCAACTTCAGTACTGTAACGTCAACTACAGTACTGTAGCGTCAACTACAGTACTGTAGCGTCAACTACAGTACTGTAGCGTCAACTACAGTACTGTAACGTCAACTACAGTACTGTAGCGTCAACTACAGTACTGTAGCGTCAACTACAGTACTGTAGCGTCAACTACAGTACTGTAACGTCAACTACAGTACTGTAGCGTCAACTACAGTACTGTAGCGTCAACTACAGTACTGTAACGTCAACTACAGTACTGTAGCGTCAACTACAGTACTGTAGCGTCAACTACAGTACTGTAACAACAACTACAGTACTGTAACATCAGCTAAAGTAACGTAACGACAGGTACAGAACTGTAACGTCAGCAACAAGACCGTAACATCCGCTTCAGTTTTGTATCATCAAGTACAATACTGCAACGGCAACTAAATTACTCTAACGTTAGTTACAGAACCGTAAAGTCAGCTAACAGTACCGTAACATCAGCTACTGTACTGTAAAGTCAGCTAGAGTATCATAACGTCGACTACACTACTGTAATGTCAACATCAGTACTGTATCGTCAGCTACAGCACTATAACGTCAGGTACAGTACTACAACGTCAGCTGCAGTACTGTTACGGCAGGTACATTTCGTAACGTCACCTACAGTACCATGACGTCACCTACAGCACCGTAACGTCACCTACAGTATCGTGACGTCAGAAAATATACCGTGACGTCAGTAACAGTATCGTGACGAAGGCTACAGTACCGTAACGTCAGCTACAGTACTGTAACATCAGCTTCAATACTGTAACGTCAGGAACTGAATTGAAAAAATCAGCTAGAGTACTGAAACGTCAGCTACAGTACTGTAACATCAGCTTCAATACTGTAACGTCAGGAACTGAATTGAAAAAATCAGCTAGAGTACTGAAGCATCAGCTACAGTATTGAAAGATCAGTTACAGTAACGTGATGTTAGCTAGAATATTGTAACGTCAGCTAAAGACATGTAACGACAGATAAAATCCTGTAACGTCAGCTACAGTGCCGTCATCTTGAGGTTATCCTGAGATGATTTCGTGGCTTAGTGTCCCCGAGGCCCGGTCCTCTACCAGGCCTCCACCCCCAGGAAGCAGCCCGTGACAGCTGACTAACTCCCAGGTACTTATTTACTGCTAGGTAACAGCGACATCAGGGTGAAAGAAACTCTGCCCATTGTTTCTCGCCGGCGCCCGGGATCGAACCCGGGACCACAGGATCACTCGTCAAGTGTTCTGTCCGTTCAGCCACCGGTTCCCTAACATAACGTCAGCTTCAGTACTGTAACGTCAGCTAGAGTACTGTAACGTCAGCTTCAGTACTGTATCGTCCGCTAGAGTACTGTAACGTCAGTAACAGTGGTGTAACGTCAGTTTGAGTGCCGTAACATGAACTTCAATTCCGTAACATTAGCTACTGTACTGTAACGTTAGCTACTATTCCGTAACGTCAGCTACATTACTGTAACATCAGCTACAGTTTCTTAACGTCAGCTTCAGTGCAGTAACGTGAATTATAGTTCCGTAACGTCAGTTACAGTACCGTTATGTCAGCTACAGTACAGTGAGATCAGCTACAATACCTTGATGTCAGTAAGAGTACCGTGACGTATCCTACAGTACAGTAACGTCACCTAAAGTACCGTAATGTCAGCTACAGTACAGTGACGTCAGCTACAATACCTTGATGTCAGCTACAGTACCGTAAAATGAACTACAGTTCCGTAACATCAGCTATTGTATTGTAACGTTAGCTACTATACCCTAACGTCAGCTACATTACTGTAACATCAGCAACAGTTTCGTAACGAGCTTCAGTACTGTAACGTCAGCTACAGTACAGTAACGTCAGCTACTGCTCCGCAATGTCATCAACAGTATCGTAACATCACCTACTGTACTGTAACGTTAGCTACTATACTGTAACGTCAGCTATATTACTGTAACATCAGCTACAGTACAGTGACGTTAGCTATAGTACCGTGATGGCAGCTACAATACCGTAACGTCAGCTACAGTACTGTGACGTAGGTTTACAGTACCGTAACGTCAGCTACAGCACTGTATCGTCAGATACACTGTACCGTTAGATACAGTACCGTAAAGTCAGCTACAGTACTGTAACGACAGCTACATTACTGTAACGTCAGCTACAGTACTCTAATGTCAGACACAATACCGTAACGTCACCAACAGTACTGTAATGTCACCTACAGTACTGTAATGTCACTACAGTACTGTAATGTCACCTACAGTACTGTAATGGCTCCTACATAGCGTAAGCTCAGCTGGAGTACCGGGACGTCAGCTACAGTACTGTATCGTCAGATACTGGAGGGTAAAGTCAGCTACAGTACTGTATCGTCAGATACTGGAGGGTAAAGTCAGCTACAGTACTGCAACGACAGCTACAGTACTGTAACGTCAGTTACAAGACTCTAACGTCATTTACAGTACTGTAACGTCATCTATAGTACTGTAACGACAGATTCATACTGTAATGTCAGCTGGAGTACTGTGACGTCACCTACAGCTCCATGACGTTAGCTACAGTATCGTGACGAAGGGTACAGTATTGTAACGTCAGCTACATTTCTTTAGCGTCAGCTACAGCACCGAAACGTTAGCTACAATACCGTAACGGCAGCTAGAGTACTGAAACGTCAGATATTTACTGTAACGTCAGCTAAAGTACTTTTAACGTCAGATATAGTACCGTCACGTCAGGTACACAACTGTAACGACCGCTTCAGTATAGTAAAGTCAGCTTTACTACCGTAAGGTCAGCTGCAGTTCTGTAACTTCAGCTACAGTAACGTAACGTCAGCTGCAGTACTGTAACGTCAGCTACAATACTGTAACGTCAGCTACAGATCCTTAACGTCATCTTAATACCATAGCATCAGCTACAGCACCGTTTTACTTCAGCAAAAGCACTGTAACGGCTGATACATAACGTTTAGCCAGTTACAGTACTTTATTTTGCAGGGATATTCCTGTGCGGGCCCTAAGCCTCTGGCTGGCCCACTGTGCGGGCCCTAAGCCTCTGGCTGGCCCACTGTGCGGGCCCTAAGCCTCTGGCTGGCCCACTGTGCGGGCCCTAAGCCTCTGGCTGGCCCACTGTGCGGGCCCTAAGCCTCTGGCTGGCCCACTGTGCGGGCCCTAAGCCTCTGGCTGGCCCACTGTGCGGGCCCTAAGCCTCTGGCTGGCCCACTGTGCGGGCCCTAAGCCTCTGGCTGGCCCACTGTGCGGGCCCTAAGCCTCTGGCTGGCCCACTGTGCGGGCCCTAAGCCTCTGGCTGGCCCACTGTGCGGGCCCTAAGCCTCTGGCTGGCCCACTAAGTGTTGCTTGTTTCTGTTTTACTTGGGCGGAGTATGAGTATTTATGACTCGTATGGTCGCTTCAGTAAGATTTTGCCATATGTTTAACAACTTCTTCTGCTCTGTTGAATCTAAGTTGAAATCTTAATGGGTTTGTAACTGTGCATTGTGTTAGATAATGTTACAGTGGTCTGTCGGGCATTTCTCCACAGTGCTGACATTTCCTCTCATCTTCTGGAAACTGTAAGCCTATTTCCCATGCACATGGAAGTTACAGTACCGTGACGTTATCTACAATACAGTGACGTTAGCTATAAAAATTGCGTCAGCCAGAAAAATGATAGGATGGATTACGAGAACCTTGAAGTCCAGAGATCCCGTCACAATGGTTGAACTCTTCAAATCACTTGTGTTGTCCCGTCTTGAGTACTGAGCAGAACTCAAGACGGGACATCTTTAAGCGGAAACTAAATAGTTTCCTCCTAGGAGTGCCGGACCAACCAGGCTGTGGTGGGTACGTGGGCCTGCGGGCCGCTCCAAGCAACGGCTGGTGGACCAAACTCTCACAAGTCAAGTCTGGCCTCGGGCCGGGCTTGGAGAGTAGAAGAACTCCCAGAACCCCATCAACCAGGTATAATACAGCTAC